TCTCAAAACTCTGGATTCGATAGAAGGGCCGTGAGACTTTGACCTGAGTGCAAAAATGGAGGCTCTAGACCCTTCCAGAGCTGAGATATCGAAATTCAAAATTTCGACCCGAAAAAAAAACGAGTGTTACCCCTTTCGTTTTTTTCATTTTCGGGCGAAAAATTAAGTTTCTCCAATCTTCTCAAAACTCTGGATTATGATAGAGGGCTGTGAGACTTTGACCTGAGTGCAAAAATGGAGGCTCTAGACCCTTCCAGAGCTGAGATATCGAAATTCAAAATTTCGACCCGAAAAAAAAAAACGACAGTGTTACCCCTTTCGTTTTTTTCGTTTTCTGGCAAAAAATTAAGTTTCTCCAATCTTCTCAAAACTCTGGATTATGATAGAGGGCTGTGAGACTTTGACCTGAGTGCAAAAATGGAGGCTCTAGACCCTTCCAGAGCTGAGATATCGAAATTCAAAATTTCGACCCGAAAAAAAAAACGACAGTGTTACCCTTTCGTTTTTTTTTTTTTCATTTTCGGGCGAAAAATTAAGTTTCTCCAATCTTCTCAAAACTCTGGATTATGATAGAGGGCCGTGAGACTTTGACCTGAGTGCAAAAATGGAGGCTCTAGACCCTTCCAGAGCTGAGATATCAAAATTCAAAATTTCGAACCGAAAAAAAAAACGACAGTGTTACCCCTTTCGTTTTTTTTCATTTTCGGCGAAAAATTAAGTTTCTCCAATCTTCTCAAAACTCTGGATTCTGATAGAGGGCCGTGAGACTTTGACCTGAGTGCAAAATGGAGGCTCTAGACCCTTCCAGAGCTGAGATATCGAAATTCAAAATTTCGACCCGAAAAAAAAAACGACAGTGTTACCCCTTTCGTTTTTTTTTCATTTTCGGGCGAAAAATTAAGTTTCTCCAATCTTCTCAAAACTCTGGATTCTGATAGAGGGCCGTGAGACTTTGACCTGAGTGCAAAAATGGAGGCTCTAGACCCTTCCAGAGCTGAGATATCGAAATTCAAAATTTCGACCTGAAAAAAAAACGACAGTGTTACCCCTTTCGTTTTTTATTCATTTTCGGGCGAAAAATTAAGGTTCTCCAATCTTCTCAAAACTCTGGATTATGATAGAGGGCCGTGAGACTTTGACCTGAGTGCAAAAATGGAGGATCTAGACCCTTCCAGAGCTGAGATATCAAAATTCAAAATTTCGACCGGAAAAAAAACGACAGTGTTACCCCTTTCGTTTTTTTTCGTTTTCTGGCGAAAAATTAAGTTTCTCCAATCTTCTCAAAACTCTGGATTCTGATAGAGGGCCATGAGACTTTCACCTGAGTGCAAAAATGGAGGCTCTAGACCCTTCCAGAGCTGAGATATCAAAATTCAAAATTTCGACCGGAAAAAAAAACGACAGTGTTACCCCTTTCTTTTTTTTCATTTTCGGGCGAAAAATTAAGTTTCTCCAATCTTCTCAAAACTCTGGATTCTGATAGAGGGCCGTGAGACTTTGACCTGAGTGCAAAAATGGAGGCTCTAGACCCTTCCAGAGCTGAGATATCAAAATTCAAAATTTCGACCCGAAAAAAAAACGACAGTGTTACCCCTTTCGTTTTTTTCGTTTTCTGGCGAAAAATTAAGTTTCTCCAATCTTCTCAAAACTCTGGATTCTGATAGAGGGCCGTGAGACTTTGACCTGAGTGCAAAAATGGAGGCTCTAGACCCTTCCAGAGCTGAGATATCGAAATTCAAAATTTCGACCCGAAAAAAAAACGACAGTGTTACCCCTTTCGTTTTTTTCGTTTTCGGGCGAAAAATTAAGTTTCTCCAATCTTCTCAAAACTCTGGATTATGATAGAGGGCTGTGAGACTTTGACCTGAGTGCAAAAATGGAGGCTCTAGACCCTTCCAGAGCTGAGATATCAAAATTCAAATTTCGACCCGAAAAAAAAACGACAGTGTTACCCCTTTCGTTTTTTTCGTTTTCGGCGAAAAATTAAGTTTCTCCAATCTTCTCAAAACTCTGGATTATGATAGAGGGCTGTGAGACTTTGACCTGAGTGCAAAAATGGAGGCTCTAGACCCTTCCAGAGCTGAGATATCAAAATTCAAAATTTCGACCCGAAAAAAAAAACGACAGTGTTACCCCTTTCGTTTTTTTTTTTTTTTTCGGGTAAAAATTAAGTTTCTCCAATCTTCTCAAAACTCTGGATTCTGATAGAGGGCCATGAGACTTTGACCTGAGTGCAAAAATGGAGGCTCTAGACCCTTCCAGAGCTGAGATATCAAAATTCAAAAATTTCGACCCGAAAAAAAAAAACGACAGTGTTACCCCTTTCGTTTTTTTTCATTTTCGGGCGAAAAATTAAGTTTCTCCAATCTTCTCAAAACTCTGGATTATGATAGAGGGCTGTGAGACTTTGACCTGAGTGCAAAAATGGAGGCTCTAGACCCTTCCAGAGCTGAGATATCAAAATTCAAAATTTCGACCGGAAAAAAAACGACAGTGTTACCCCTTTCGTTTTTTTTCATTTTCGGGCGAAAAATTAAGTTTCTCCAATCTTCTCAAAACTCTGGATTATGATAGAGGGCCGTGAGACTTTGACCTGAGTGCAAAAATGGAGGCTCTAGACCCTTCCAGAGCTGAGATATCAAAATTCAAAATTTCGACCCGAAAAAAAAACGACAGTGTTACCCCTTTCGTTTTTTTCGTTTTCTGGCGAAAAATTAAGTTTCTCCAATCTTCTCAAAACTCTGGATTCTGATAGAGGGCCGTGAGACTTTGACCTGAGTGCAAAAATGGAGGCTCTAGACCCTTCCAGAGCTGAGATATCGAAATTCAAAATTTCGACCCGAAAAAAAAAAACGACAGTGTTACCCCTTTCGTTTTTTTCGTTTTCGGGCGAAAAATTAAGTTTCTCCAATCTTCTCAAAACTCTGGATTATGATAGAGGGCTGTGAGACTTTGACCTGAGTGCAAAAATGGAGGCTCTAGACCCTTCCAGAGCTGAGATATCGAAATTCAAAATTTCGACCCGAAAAAAAAAACGACAGTGTTACCCCTTTCGTTTTTTTTTCGTTTCTGGCGAAAAATTAAGTTTCTCCAATCTTCTCAAAACTCTGGATTATGATAGAGGGCTGTGAGACTTTGACCTGAGTGCAAAAATGGAGGCTCTAGACCCTTCCAGAGCTGAGATATCAAAATTCAAAATTTCGACCCGAAAAAAAAACGACAGTGTTACCCCTTTCGTTTTTTTTTCATTTTTCGGCCGAAAAATTAAGTTTCTCCAATCTTCTCAAACTCTGGATTATGATAGAGGGCTGTGAGACTTTGACCTGAGTGCAAAAATGGAGGCTCTAGACCCTTCCAGAGCTGAGATATCAAAATCAAAATTTCGACCCGAAAAAAAACGACAGTGTTACCCCTTTCGTTTTTTTTCGTTTTCGGGCGAAAAATTAAGTTTCTCCAATCTTCTCAAAACTCTGGATTCTGATAGAGGGCCATGAGACTTTGACCTGAGTGCAAAAATGGAGGCTCTAGACCCTTCCAGAGCTGAGATATCAAAATTCAAAATTTCGACCCGAAAAAAAAACGACAGTGTCCCTTTCGTTTTTTTTTTCATTTTCGGGCAAAAAATTAAGTTTCTCCAATCTTCTCAAAACTCTGGATTCTGATAGAGGGCCGTGAGACTTTGACCTGAGTACAAAAATGGAGGCTCTAGACCCTTCCAGAGCTGAGATATCGAAATTCAAAATTTCGACCCGAAAAAAAAAACGACAGTGTTCCCTTTCGTTTTTTTTTTTTCATTTTCGGGCGAAAAATTAAGTTTCTCCAATCTTCTCAAAACTCTGGATTTGATAGAGGGCCGTGAGACTTTGACCTGAGTGCAAAAATGGAGGCTCTAGACCCTTCCAGAGCTGAGATATCGAAATTCAAAAATTTCGACCCGAAAAAAAAAACGACAGTGTTACCCCTTTCGTTTTTTTTCATTTTCGGGCGAAAAATTAAGTTTCTCCAATCTTCTCAAAACTCTGGATTATGATAGAGGGCCATGAGACTTTGACCTGAGTGCAAAAATGGAGGCTCTAGACCCTTCCAGAGCTGAGATATCAAAATTCAAAATTTCGACCGGAAAAAAAACGACAGTGTTACCCCTTTCGTTTTTTTTCGTTTTCGGGCGAAAAATTAAGTTTCTCCAATCTTCTCAAAACTCTGGATTCTGATAGAGGGCCATGAGACTTTGACCTGAGTGCAAAAATGGAGGCTCTAGACCCTTCCAGAGCTGAGATATCAAAATTCAAAATTTCGACCCGAAAAAAAAAACGACAGTGTCCCTTTCGTTTTTTTTTTCATTTTCGGGCAAAAAATTAAGTTTCTCCAATCTTCTCAAAACTCTGGATTCTGATAGAGGGCCGTGAGACTTTGACCTGAGTGCAAAAATGGAGGCTCTAGACCCTTCCAGAGCTGAGATATCGAAATTCAAAATTTCGACCTGAAAAAAAAACGACAGTGTTACCCCTTTCGTTTTTTTTTCATTTTCGGGCGAAAAATTAAGTTTCTCCAATCTTCTCAAAACTCTGGATTCTGATAGAGGGCCATGAGACTTTGACCTGAGTGCAAAAATGGAGGCTCTAGACCCTTCCAGAGCTGAGATATCGAAATTCAAAATTTCGACCGGAAAAAAAAAAACGACAGTGTTACCCCTTTCGTTTTTTTTCATTTTCGGGCGAAAAATTAAGTTTCTCCAATCTTCTCAAAACTCTGGATTCTGATAGAGGGCCTGTGAGACTTTGACCTGAGTGCAAAAATGGAGGCTCTAGACCCTTCCAGAGCTGAGATATCGAAATTCAAAATTTCGACCCGAAAAAAAAAACGACAGTGTTACCCCTTTCGTTTTTTTCGTTTTCGGGCGAAAAATTAAGTTTCTCCAATCTTCTCAAAACTCTGGATTATGATAGAGGGCTGTGAGACTTTGACCTGAGTGCAAAAATGGAGGCTCTAGACCCTTCCAGAGCTGAGATATCAAAATTCAAAATTTCAACCCGAAAAAAAACGACAGTGTTACCCCTTTCGTTTTTTTCGTTTTCTGGCAAAAAATTAAGTTTCTCCAATCTTCTCAAAACTCTGGATTCTGATAGAGGGCCATGAGACTTTAACCTGAGTGCAAAAATGGAGGCTCTAGACCCTTCCAGAGCTGAGATATCGAAACTCAAAAATTCGACCCGAAAAAAAAAACGACAGTGGTACCCCTTTCGTTTTTTTTTTTTTTCGGGCGAAAAATTAAGTTTCTCCAATCTTCTCAAAACTCTGGATTCTGATAGAGGGCCATGAGACTTTAACCTGAGTGCAAAAATGGAGGCTCTAGACCCTTCCAGAGCTGAGATATCGAAACTCAAAAATTCGACCCGAAAAAAAAAAACGACAGTGGTACCCCTTTCGTTTTTTTTTTTCGGGCGAAAAATTAAGTTTCTCCAATCTTCTCAAAACTCTGGATTCTGATAGAGGGCCATGAGACTTTAACCTGAGTGCAAAAATGGAGGCTGCCTTTAAAAAACTATTGCAGCCTTAATGAGATTCAAAGTGTTTATCATCACTTTTTCATAAGTAACATGATAACATCAAAATAATATTGATGTTGTTTTGTAAAAAAACAAAACAAAAAAAAAAAAGAATATGAAGGTTTAATAAATTCATAAATGTACTTTTCAAATAAATGTTAGTTTCAAATAAATACCTGTACGCCCACGGCGAGAGGCTGAGGAGGTTCACTGGGGTACGTGGTCTGTCGCGAGCTAGACGAGACGCTGATTGACAGCTCAGATTCTGGCGCTCTGGAGGCGCGAGCTGCAAGGTGTGATGAAACGCGCTAAGCACCCCGACCGAGAGCCTCCCAAACATCTGCTCCAAAATCTCCTCTGGTAAGTCCAGGCAGGAGCGAGTCCTCGGTGTTCTCCTGGACACCTTCTGTTCCCGTTCACCCGGCGCGCTCCCGGAACACCACAACAACACGAGCACAAGCGTCGAAACAGCTTGACCGCGCATTTCAGTTTACACCGAGTCTGAGCCCGCTTTACTGTCAGCAAACGACTGTTGGGAAAGATTAATTAATGTAAATCTCTTAAAGCGACCTACACGACTTCCCACTCGTTGCGTAAAGCTGTGCCTCATCCGTCCGTCCCGTAAATGCGCTCCGGATACTTGACTCCAGATATTGGGCGGACTGTTTGATAATGACAAGATCATGATCTGCTCAATGCGAAAACTCTCACATTGATTCACCCCCACGGATCCTCTGTATTCCTTTCAGGTATTTAGGTGATTGAATCAATAAAATATGTAGCATATATAGAAAGTTGATTTAATATTTCAAACTTACAAAACATGCACGTCTTTATGTTATCCAGGTTTAATGGTGTAGTCATACAGCAAAAAGCATAGTAAAGCATAACAAGGATGTAATGAAGTATTTTTAAACTTCAGTGCTATTATTTGTACAGGAAATGCAGACAAATTTAGTATCTAGATGTATATTAGACTTTCCACTGAATTGATCTCTATTGCACACATCACTCAGGCAGTAAGTCATCTCCTAGCTCTTCATCAGCAAACTCATCTTCCTCGGTGCGTTTCCTTGCTGCTGTTTTTGGTCTCTGCATTTGAGGTCCCAACGGATCGACATAAGATGCATCTAAAGTGATGAATACAATGAGAGCACTAAGTGGTAATAAGTACAGGCCAGACCAGAATCATTTCCCTTTACATGAATGAGAAAACTCTTAGCTATAATATAAAGCAGCAAGAAAATAGGTAACATTATTTGATTAATGGAATGTTACAATACGTTGTCATCATACATTTATGCATTTGCTAGATCCATGCTCTACTGTGTGAACTAAAGGAATGCAAAACGCAAGCACAGTTTGTTTGGTGAAAAAGTAATTATTCTACCAGAATTGTAAAAAAAAACAAAAACAAAAAAAAACACCAAAGTTCCTTCTCACCTATTTCCTGCTGAGTGCTGGCCTCATACGGCTCATTGGACCCGGGAAGAGTTTTCAGTTTAATGCTAAGCCTCTCACCCTTGGCGCTGGTGCCATGGTTGCTTTGTCCACTGTCTGAGAAAACACATCCACATGTTGGACTTGGAAAATATCTTGAATGAGTGTTATTTTACAGTAGTGTCTGAACAGAAGGGGGGAAAGAGCATTTGCATTTAAGTCGCCACCATCGTCAATGCAAGCTATGCTCTGTTAGAACTCTGGTAAGCAAAATAACAACAAAAAAGCAGGAAAAGCAACAGCTCAAGCTTGCACTTCAAGCAAAGCCTATGTGGAACAAGAATCGTAATTAAAGTGAGTTCATATGAATAGCATAATTGAAAGCATTTGTGTTGTACAAAGACATCGGAACACAGCTGCATTTCACATTTCGACTGTGATGACAGAGCACTGAGGGGCAGATGTAGGACCGGAGTCTGGCCTGCAGGTAACTTTGAGATCTTTAAACGTCCCAGCGACAAAACTCAAAGGCATAAAAATTACAAGCCTTTTGCTGACATAAATTAGTTTTCCATACCCTGTCCACCTAACTGAGGAATCATGCCAGAATCAAGAATCAACATTTATCACAAAAAGCTAAATAAAAACTGCTTCGGGGTATACATGTATTTGTAGTCAGAAAAAAAAGCATATTTATTGTGACATCAGTTCAAGCATCCAAAATAGCAAGTGATAGTAAAAATAATACAGTAAGAAACTGTTGAAATCAAGCGCACTAATACCGGGATAGTGTTGTTCAGTGTACTTGTGAAATATTTCACTGGTTTATTTGCACTCTGTGCTTTGCAAACAGAAAGGAGGTGCTGGAAACGCTTTGTCAGACAGTGAGAGCGGGATATTCCCTGGGAATAGTGGTTTTGGCAAAAATAAATCTTCAGCACATGTTTGCTTTCTGGTGTGCTGTGATTGAAATGATGTCCTTGGACGCTGTATCATGATGTGGAAACTTCAGGCACTAAAACATCTTGATACATGGACTAAGTAAGTTTAAGTTTTCCATGAAGCTATGGGTTTTTTTGTTTTTAATCATTCAGAGAACTGATCATCTAAAGTGCACAGTGAAATAGAGTACATACCTCTGCCCTGCTGCAGCACAGGACTATACTTAGCTTCAGAGCGAGAAACTGCAAGGAAAAGAAAGGAAAAAAGAAGAAGACAGATCTCTGAAGAGACAGTGGAAAGGCTGTACAGAGCTGAGAGCCTATAAATTGGGTTGCACCATGCAACAATGACTTTTTTTCTTTTGTGAATAAAGTGGTAAAACTAGCATTATGTGTTGAGTTATGACTGCAGGGCAGAATTTGAGCAGTTTATTCCTGAGCTGCAGAATGCTTGTTGTAATAGTCATACAGATGGTGTGTGTGATCTCTTCCTCTACTGTAATTCTGTAATGAGTGTAGTCATACCACTGGCTCTCAGAGGAGGGGTATTGATGGGGCTTGAGCTGCTCCCTTTCAGGTGCATAGCCATGAACAGAAAAACAGAGATAAACAATAAAAGAGAACAACAGATTACTAACAGAACAGAAATGAAGCTGACAATATAAAGCGAAAGAATGCAGGAAAAGAAAATGCTTTCTGAAATAACGAATAATTCATTTCGGTCTTATTACTGTCTCATGAATGTGATTATATGCAGTGTCTGATTGGCTGTAAATAAATAACCCATACACAACCATTCAAAAGTCAGAAAGATTTTTTTTGTTGTTGAAAAATTTGAAATTGAAGTTTGATGCAATTAAAAATGCATCAAACTGATCAGAAGTGACAGCAAATATATTTATGTTCTCTTACGAGCTTAAGCTACGTTAAAGATTCATCTTTTCGGAGAAGTTCAGGCCAAACAATTAATCCTTTAATTTTGTACCCATTGTCAGCGCAGTTCAACTGCAGCAGACCATGATCGGGCTAGACATTTTAGGCCGCTCGTATGAGGAATGAAACGTAAGTCTAAGTTAGAGAGATGGGTGCTTGACCGGTCTCGGCGGACTAAAAACACACTCGTATCTCATGTCGCCGCTGACGCATGTGCGCTGGAGCGCGACCGTTTTCTGTAAAGTAAAAGCTGACCGCAAACTCAGAGCTGCGTAAAATTATCTGCGAGAGCCGGATGTTTGTGGCAACAGGACTCACTCAGAGAGGAGTTTATGGCCCGTGTAACAGAGCGGGCAGAGGGGGGACGCGCACACGGGCTCGTGGGCACGCTTATGCACTCTGACACTAGAGCGGGCTCTGACAGAGACAGGGTACACGTGGTGCTTTTGTGTATGGGTGAACACAGGATTGTGAGCACTTTTTTTAAACAAGAGGCTTTTATGCAGAGGGGGGGACGCGCGCACGGGCTCCTGGGTGGGTGTGCTTACGAACTCTAGACACTCGAGCGGGCTGTGTCTGCTTTAAGTTCCGGTGAAGCGTATTGCACGGGGGGCGGGCTCGCTCTCTTATAATGTAAAGAAAGCTAGCTGCGGTCGGCACAGCTGCAGTGGCTCGTCCCTCATATAGCGCGGCGGCAAGCAGCTCGTGAGCGGCGAGAGGGGACGGGTTCAACGCTTCGAGTCAAGCACGCATGGTCGACAACGAAAACCTTTCCCTGTGTTCCAGTCCCAGGCAGAGAGCGCAGACGACGGCGGTCTCCAGCGCAGAGAGGGGCGCGGCATGAGCCGCGGGTGTGCGAGGCATCATTAAAAAGACGCTCACTGCTCTTTTGTGAAGTTACACAAGCAAAATACAAATGTAAAAGATACGTCGCTGGATGGCGTCAGCTCACAGGATGGCTGAAGGTGGCAAAGACGGCCGTTTTCCTCAGTCCAGGCGGTCCAGGCTCACTAGATTCCTTCTCGACGGCGACAAGGCTTCCTCTCGGAGATTAGCAGAAGCGAAGAGCCTCGCTGAAGTAATAATAATCAGAAAACAGCGGGAAACTCGACTATTTATAGACTGCGTGTCAGCTTCTCATTGGCCGCGACTTCAACCGAGTTCCCTCATAGGCTGTAGCAGTTCTCCCTGAGCGAACCAATGAGCTGCTAGCTAGCCCGCTCATGGTCTGCTGCTTTGACAATGGATACAAAATTATAGGATATTTTTTTGGCTTCAACTTCTCAGAAAAGATTAATCTTTCCCGTAGCGTAAGCTAGCTTATGCAATTCTCGTGCCCTCATCTAGAGAGAACCGAGGTTATTTTAAATTGTAATAATATTTAACAATATTACTGTTAAACTGTATTTTTACTCAAATAATTGCGGTCTTTTTGAGTATAAGAGACTTCTTTCAAAAACATGAAAACATTTTACCAATCCAAACTTTTGAATGACAGGGTATGTCGTTTATCTGGCTTATTTTCCACAGAAATGGGAATTATGGCTTAATTAATTTTATGAAGAATCCAAATCAAATTCCTTATAAAAAACCAACCATAATAATAAAGTAGCTTTATATCATGTCTGATTTATTCTACATAAAGCATGTAGTGATCATACCACTGGGCTTTTGGGGGTTTGAGCCGCTTCCTAAAGTGACGACGTGAAAATACAATATTAGAAGAAGAGATAGGTGAGATGCAGTAAAAGGCTGATAACAGAAAATGAGTGTACTGCATGACCTTTAAACCCAGCACTGCCTGAAGCTGACAACTGAACATCACCTGATATGAGATCCACATCTGATGTCCCAAAAGACAAGTGAAGAATGAAAAAAAAAATATATATATATATATATATTATTTCAAGAAATAAACTTAAAATAAATAAACAAAAATCAAAAGGGAAATTGTTAGATTTAAAATCTCTAGATCATGTGATTTAGTTTAGTCCTAAAGGAAAGACGGTGTCTAAGTAACATACATATTCTTTTTGAAAAATCACATCACAGGATGTCTCCACTAAGTCACTATATTAGGGCAGTTACAGTCATACCACTGGGTTTCTTAGGGAGAGTGTGTGTAAGGTTTGATGTATTTCCTGTTTACCAAGAGAGGCGGATGACAGGTTGATGGAAAAAGTAAAGTAAGAAGCATTTATTGAGTTAATGAGCAGTATTTTATTTCAAAGTTTAATCAATGAGGTTGAGTTAAACACTCACCACTGCCAGCGCTGCCTTCCCTGCGCCCTCGAGCACTGCTCTCCCTCCCAGATCGCACCCTCTGTGTGTGGGAATAACAGCATGCTGTCAAATACTGCCCATTTCTCCAGCTCTGAATATGGAGAATGTGCTCAAATATTTTATATACAGACCAACACACAGGTTCCTCAGTGTTTACTGGCTAAGAACAGGTGAAGAAGAAATCCAAGTAATCTCTTTCTTAAATTCCAACACTTGATTTAGAGTCGCTTATCCCTCTAGTCTAGACAGTTTTATGTTGTGATGAGCAGGACGAGGGACATGAGAGCAGTGCGAGGCATTGAAGTGAGTGATAATGAACGACACCTGTGAGACGCACCGGTCTCGCATCTCTCCACTGTCGTCACTCCTCCTTTATGCTTCCGCTCCTCCGTGAGAGATGCGAGACCGGTGCGAATTACAGGTGTCGTTCATTATCACTCACGTCATGCCACTTGTTTTGCTCGCCACTTAATTATGTGTTTTTTTGTTCACTCCTCACTTTCACTCTAGCTAAAGAGGCCCAAATATAAACAGCACCAAGAGAAATCAGTGTACCTGCTCTCTGATCTCCTTCATTTTTTCAACTTTCTTCAGTTTGGTCGCATAATCCTGCACCTCTTTTAGTCCCATATCAGTGCACAGCCTGACCAGGAAGCGTAGACCTGTGCGAAAGATAATGAATGGCAATAGATGCAAAGCTACTAGATAAGTACAAATAATCAAAGGGGCAAAAACTGCTGTTGTGTTGAGCACAATACATTCAACATTTTCAGGAAATTTCCGATGAATGTCCTTGTAGGTCTCGAGTGCCTTTTGATAATTTCCTGAAAACAAATGTAATACATAAATCATGACTCTGAAGGCACTGAGATGACAGCTTATGGCTAAACTTATTAAATGTATTAGTGATATCAAGTTCATACCACTTCTCCTGTAACAGCTAGCCACCATCAGCTGCCACTTGACCTGTGTTGGTCTAAAATTCATGATACATCATTAATATCTTCAAATACATGCAGAATATTCATGATAAATACATAAGATATTTAGTATCTTACTGAATAAGGGTAGCTCTCTCAAAGTACTGAATAGCTTTCTCACAGAACTGGGTGTCGATGTAATATGCTCCCAACCATTCAATGACACTAATGTTTGAGGGAAAATACCTGTACGACTGAAATAAACATGAAATTATTTTTTTAAATGTTACCTCTTTTGAATTTTTGTAATAGACACCGATCATAATAACTGTAATACACAAATGATATAGAATATTATTTTTAGATATCCACTAAAATCTGGAATGTGATCTATATGATTGCCACCTATGCACGTCTTGCTTTCTAATATTTTTTTTTTAAATAAAATTATATTTAATGATTTTTAACTGTTATTTAAAGAAACCAAGACATGCGTGTCAGATATAACCAGTTTAGATATAAAAGGATCTCAAACTAGTATTTAATAATTTAATTTGAGATTTAATTTATCATTATTAAATATGTTACATTTAAACCATTTTAAATACAGCTATTTATTTGAAAAATGAATGTATAAATGTATGATGACAAAAAAAGTCCTGCATTTACTTTATTCAAACCGCTTGAGATGTGACTAATGATTGTATTGAGCATGTCATGTCATGTTAAGAGGTGGAACATGAGACATGTCATGTTAAGTGGTGGTTTTAGGGAAAATCGTTTTTACCTCATAATAGTACTGGAAGGCCTGAGATTTGTCTCCTTCATTGTCATAGAGGTCTCCCAGTTTGGCCAGCACCTGGGCATCTGTGGGGGTCACACTGGTGAGCTGCATCAGCCACTCAATGGCCTGATGAGGGTCCTCCAACATCTCATATCTAAAGCTGCTTAAGGAATATGACTCTTAACAAGCACTCATCATATTTATGTCATGATATTTCTTGGAAGCTGAAATTCCCAACCTGTCATAAAACAGACTTTCAAAGGGAAGGATACAAATTAGCCAGCTGGTACATGACCTGAGCACTGTTTCTGAGGATAGCGTGCAGTTTGAGGAAGCAATCCAGGGATTCCTCCAGCCTACCCAACCTTTTATAGGTCAAACCTGCATGAGGATACAGAGATTTCTGTTTTGGACTTACATTATTAATACATAGTCTTGGTCTCAGCTGAAACGTAAATGTAGAAAGGTTAAAGCACGTATAATGTAAATCTCATGCAGTGTAACCCTCAGGATGTCATATTTGTAATGGCAGACCTAAGTTATAAAGAGCTTCAGTACAGGATGAGTCATTGCGAAGAGCCTCCTTATAAAACTCTGCTGCTTTCTCATAGTCCTCTTTCACAAACACTGTGTTGCCTTTGTTAATGAGGGCAGCAGGGTTGTAGCGATCGGCGCTCATGGCTAGCTCAGCATAGCGGTCAGCCTGGTCATAATCTTTTTCCTGGACACATAAGCAGCAAAAAAAGAGCATTATCTTATTAAGCATATCTGAGAACCTTATTAACACAATATGATAAATACAGTAATTTACATTTTTTTTAATGTCAATGCTTTATAGCTCTGTACTCACCAAAAAGTAGAGAAAAGACAGATTAGTGGCAGCAGCACTTTTTACTCGACTGTCCTTCTTCTCAAACATCTTTAGTGTCTCCACTGCCTGAAAATAAAATAAAACAAAATATGTGATTGAGCATATTAAGCTTATAGTGTTCGCAGTGACCTCAAGGAAATGTGTGACATAAATAAATTATTTCTTTGAATAATACACTTGAGATACATTACATTACATTAGCTGCTACATGAAATGAAAGAAGCGAGGCAGCACAACACAATATCAGCACATGTATACAGGTCCTACTGCAGAAACACACAGGTTCTCCAAAAACAAAAACATACCTCAGCCTCAAGAGTCATGCAGATGGACAGGCAAGAAAACAAAATAAAATGGACCATTGGATGTGAAAAGACAGAAACAAGGGTTCCACACAGACATAGAGCCAAATGGCTCTCTTCTGTGGTAATACAGTATGTCAAATGCAACGCTATTTGAGTGTGTATCAGGGTCAGATCTACCTGTTTGAAGTCCCTCTGTCTTAAGTATGTAATAGCTTTATTGATCTCCAAGTCATTTGCAAGCTCCACGTATTGTGAACCCTTCACCATGTCCACACACCTAAAAAAAAAAGATGGATGAAAAATAACTATTTAAAATAAATACTATTGTTGAAGGAATGTCATGGGATTTGATGCCGCTCGTGGAACATTTACACTACCATTTAAAAGTTTTGGGGTTGGTAAGACTTTACCTTTACCTTAAATCTCTTATCTCTTGAAAATACAGTAATTAACAGTAGTATCATGAATTATAAATCCTGTTATGGCAAAGCTGATTTTTCAGCAGCCATTACACCAGTACACCAGTAGTTTCACATGAGTTTTCAGAAATCATTGTAAGAAACATATCTTATCAATATTATCCTGCTTAATATTTTTGTGATTATGCATACAACTGTGATATATTTCTTCAGTATTATTGAATAAAAAGAACAATCTTTATTTGAAAAATAAAAATATTTTGTAACATTATAAATGTCTTTATAGTCACATTTGATCAACATAATGCATTCTTTCTGAGAAATCTTAAAGACTCCAAACCTTTGAATGATAGTATACTACTTACCAGTCAAACCCAGCTGCAAATGACGACTCAATGGCAGGAGCAATAAGCTTAGCTGAGGTCATAATGTATTTTTCTGCTAGTGCTTTCCTAGAAGTAAAACAAAACAAAATGATAGAAGAGGATGCAGATACACTGAAATGTAATATGTGGAGATTAATAAATGCCAAGCTGTAGACAGTATTCTAGATCTAACAGAATGTGTAATACATTATAATACCTATCCCTTTCCATTTGGTGAAGCTTATCATTCTTTATTGCCTCAATCACCATGTTTGCATGAGGGTCATCCTGAAATGTAAAAAAGAAACATAAAAATTTGATATAATTCAGTTTAAATGTGTGACTAACAAGGATTTTAACGATACACTCACATTTGCAGGGATATACTTGTCTTCATCATCAATACCAAGGGGCACACAAATTAGTTTTTGAAAAGCTTTCTTCATCCTCTCACGGTCTCCGATGGCATAGTAGCACAGGATGAGGTTGAAGCCTGTCTTTATGTTGGGATTCTCACTCATGATGTACTCAAAGGATGTGATGGCATCTGAGTACTGGCCCATATGTATGAACACAACTCCAATGTTCTGCATGATCTTGATCCTATAAAATTAAGGAAAGTTACATATTGAAAAATCCTGCTAAATTGCTTACAACCTGAATACATTGAAGGGTTCAAATCAAATACGCAGTTCACACAACAAACGTACTGAACTAAGAACTGACCTCATTGCATTGTGGGCATTTGAAATCTGATCCAAAGCCATGCGGTAAAATTTGATGGCTTTTGTGTAATTCTTTTGCTTGAAATAGATATTTGCCATGTTTACTTTTAACCGACCTATAGTAGGGAAAGTGGTAACAGAAAACCTCAAATTAGAAACACATTTATATTGAATGTAATTGAATTTGGATTAAGATATTTTAAATAATATTTGCAATTAACTCACCGGCATTATTGAACATTTTGTTCTTCACAATGACTTGGTATGTGTTCAAAGCCTCAGTGTACATGTCATTACTGGCATATTGGTTTGCTAAGTTAAACAATACCTGAACAAAGCATAAATAAAACATGTGAAATTTCTGAGTTTTCAGTCAAGATATGTATTTTATATGGAGCAATGAACTCACAGAGTAGGTAAGATCCAGATTGATGTGGTCTGCAGTGCCTGTTTGTTCTCTCTGTCTCACCAGAGCCCTTTCCTTCCTGCCCGCCTCTTTGGCTTTCTCTAGAGACTGTAGAAAAAAGATAATTCAGCATCTAAATAGTCATCTTTTAATTTTTTTTAAAACCATGTATAGCAGTTATACCCAGCTATACCCACCAGCTGAAGATCCCCATGAGCATGAGCGAGACAGCTCTCCTCTATCAAATCATTCACCTTCTTTTCCAGGATCTTTATCTTTTCCTCTGGACTGAACAAGAAAACAAACAATTAAACCAGAAATGTGTGTCCGTTTCCAAGTAAAACTATAGATGTCAAGGGGGATCTAGTAAACAAAACTTGACAGTGGCTTCTCAAGCGCTATGAAAACAGATGGACGCATACGTGTCTTCGTTCTGTCTCTCTAATGGAGGGGCTGGTCCTTTTGATTGTCCCAGTGGATCAAACACTGAGCCTGCAAATTCAAAGAATTAAATTAAACTCAGAAGTTAAAATATATTGTGGTGGATTGTTAATACATAAGATTTATAATGTTACTAACTATAAAAAACGTATTTTAGATGAAGCATCTTATGATAAACTTTTAGCACATTTCCTGTTTTTATGTGTGATGGTGACTAACTTTCCATTCTAGATCTAACAATAAACCAAATTAAATCTTACCCTACTTCCTTTTAATTAGGATGTAGCCATCAGACGAACTTTCAATATAATCCAATATAACCTTCTAACAAACTTTTGACTTAATGTAACCTTGGTCAATTGAACTTTGAAAATACAGTCAGTTCTTTGACTGTATTGTGAAATGGTTGATTGAATTATTAACCCAATGTTTTTTGATGATATAAGATATTTTTGTTGAAATGTTAGTCATGATGATTCTATTTTGATGTGTCTGACTTTATCCTATAAGCTTGTTGTATTCTTATTTTTGGTTGAGATTCTCTGAGAACTGCTTGAGAACTCCCGGCCGTAATAAAAAGCATTTAAAGAACAATTACTCAAGTCTGTCTGTCATTTAAGCTGTGCAGTGAAGAAAACAAGGAAGTTAGAACTGTCGATGCAACTGTAGACTGGCAGAGTATAGAATTTAGACGGATGCTGTAGTCGACTGGAGACTCGCTGAAGTATAGGGAGTGTGATGCTGTAATCGACTGGAGACTCACTGAAGTGTGAACCTAGCTAACGTCAATATATAGATGTGCTAGAGTATAAGTTATATTAGTATAGTTAGTTTTAAGGAAAAAATCTATAATAGGTAGGTTTGAGGAAAAATCTATAACAGTATTTATTCAATATCATTATGAGACAGTTAAACATAGAGTGCCTGGACAGCACATGTGCAAGAGGGTTTCTTGTGTGAAAGCACCTCTAGCTATAGATGAAGAATATCCTGCTGCCCGCACTGCAGTCATGGGGCGAGCCGCACCGTCCTGTACAACACACACACACACACACACAAAAGAAAACAAATAAAACTTCATTGCATATTACATAAAGAGGAAATAAACAGGAAATTGTCTCCCACCTGAACAGCTCCAGTCATAGGCCTTCCCATTGCAGTGCCAACAGGCACCCGAGACTGGAATATTAACATCAGAAATATAAGACATAAGAGGAAATAATAAATAGAATCAACTTACTTTACTGACAAACTCAGCCTCGAAATCCCTTAAGCATGAAATACAGTCCATTTCTCAATACACCGTAGTAGTCCATTTCTTTTTTTTTTTCATTTCTATACGATTTAATTTTCCCGATATTTGATTATCTTGATTCTGACTGTATATTCTCTCCCCCCTTAGGGCCAATGATCTTTCCTGTCCTGACAGTTTTCTCACTGATTATAAGACATAATACATTCTAACATGCCATCACGCTAACTTAAAAAGCTATTTTATTTTGAGTCAAAAATGTAGTAGTGTTAATCCATAAGCTCTACTCACCCCATACGCTGTCCCAATCGGTCGCCCTCCAATAGCAGTGCCAGGATATTTTGCGGTCATCTAAAAATATTCATTAAACAAATATAGTGTCTATTATTAATGAAATATGCATGTGTGCTGATGTGCCTGTACTTCCATAAAGCACCTTTAGTAGCAGATGCTATTCACTTACTGGTGGTCTTCTGCCATGACTCGTCCTGACGGCCTGCTGAAAACCCACATCGTTGTTAAGATCCTGCAGGGACAGGAGAATGATCATGCATAAAAGCAAGTGACGACATTTAATAAACGCAAGGTATTTTTGTACCTCTGAGTCAAAAGTCGGATTGTAATCATTGTAGCCTGTATACAAATCATCATCCTCTTCTTCTGGGACAAGATGCACGTTCTCCATCTGAAAAACAAACAAACAAACAATACAAAACTCGTAAAGGTCTCTGATGTAACTTAAATGAGACATTATATTTGGAAAAGCAGGAGATCATATACAGGCTAACGTTAATTATAAGTAACGTTAACGTTAATGTTAATAAGAATAGAAGACATTCAGGCAACAATGTAGACACTTTATCCAGACTATACAGTGGGAATGGGAACATATTTAAAACAAGAAACTTTTATTTTGAACAAATATGCGAGTTCCTCTGTTAAACCATTTTTGACAAGATATCACGTTCGTTTAAATTCTGCATGGCTAAGTTAGCGAGTGACCATAACTTACCGCTTATCTCGTATACGAGTAAGTTAAACGTCCAACAACATCTGTGGTTGTGAATTATGATAGTTTAACTTAGCCGGTAAACAGAACACTTTGCTTACCGAAGAAAAGAGCAAATTAATGTCCGTATTAAGATGAACTATCCAGTGTTTGTGGCCCAGCAATAGCTAACGTTACTGCTCGCTAACTAAGCTGAGCAACAACCATCAGTTGCTAGGATACAGAGAGGGGTTGACATAAGCTGCACACGAGCGATTACGAGCGACATAGTTTATGTTCGCGTCTTTATATGTTTTCTTTTATCATTGTATTTCTAAATAAAAGTATAAACTTCTGGGCTAAAAACCGGTGAATTGTTCTTCTGCAAAAAAATCTTGATGCATTTAGGCACGTGTGAGACGCCGTAGGTCCGCCTTTCTTTCGTGCAGACGGACACATGATCACCTGAAGTCTGGTGATTTGGGGCTTTTGGAAAGTAGCCGCTTGAGTTAAACTTCATTTCTGCAAACGAGACTGCGATGAGTTCATTAAAAGGAAAGATCATTACTGTTGTCGGAAGGTGAGAGTTAACCTGTCGATCTGTCAAATTGAGCAGACATGATAGTAACAGATTAGATGAGTGGTCTTTGAACTCTACTATTATGGTGTTTATATATAAATTATACTGTATGTATTCTGCATATCAGAATAGTGCGTCTGAAAAATTAAGTGCAATATTGAACGATCAAACTGAAAATAGCAGGTAACTCGTTTTTGCGCTCATTTGACATATTTTGGGGTAGATTTGCTTTGTGCAAAAAAAAAAAAAAGGCTTATTTTGGCTGGATTTGCATGCATCAAAGCCATTAAATCTGTGAATTCATGTTTGTCATGCACTAAAAGTCCTTGCAAAATTGAAGTTCCTATTGAAGTAATATCAGAGATGTTCCTCATTCTGGGATATAGATAATGCATTGATTTTCACTAATCTTGACCTATATTTGTATTTGACTTTTTTACAATGCTGTCTCTTCTTCCTGTATAATAAAGTGGCCTGATTGGCCGCTCCTGGGCCATGGTGTTCCTGAGTGGAGGATACAAGGTCAAGATCTATGACAACAAACCAGGACAAGCATCAGGCGCCATCACAGAGATCAGGTCAGTGGAAAACAGGAAAGAAACTTTAACTATTGACCCATCAGTCAAAATGACTCATTGACCCAAATTCATTGCTCAACTTTTGTCAGTGCAAGTTTGTGACCCATTTTGAAGGCACTAACTATAAAATCCAATGCTCAGAGGAGCTATAGACTAAATGTCATATGTTCATACATAATGTGTTAAAAAAAAAAAAAAAATTAAAGTATGCACAAATTAAAGTTTTGTTACTATCGGCCCATATATATTTAAAGGGTAAGTTAACCCAAAAATGAACATTTTGTCATAATTTACTCTCCCCCATGTTGTTCCAAACCTGTAGTTTCTTTCTTCTGTTGAAGAAGAAGACATTTTAAAGAATGTTGTTAACCAGACAGTTGACGGTAGCCATTGACATCCATAGTTTTTTTTTTTTTTTTTTTATGGAAGTCTTTTAAAAAAACAAATTAAGATATTTTTGATTAAATCTGAGAGCTGAATCACTCCTCCATAGGCTTCTTAAGCGATCGAAACTGGCCGGCCCAAAAGTTATGAAAGACATCGTGGCTCAATCTTAAGTTTATCAAGCGACAAGAATACTTTTTGTATGCAAGAAACAAACAAAAATAACGACTTTATTCAACTATTCATTTGCTTCTCTGTTGGCCTCGACATTTCACGTAGTGAAACTACATATGGCCAGCATCGGCCAATAGTGAGCCTACGTATGATGTGCAACACAGAAGCTTTGCGCAATATCACTACATGAAATCTCAAGGCCCACAGAGAAGGAAATAATTATTTGAACTATTTTACCGATGTCTTTCATAACTATGGAGGCCTATGGAGGAGTGATCCAGCTCTCAGATTTAATCAAAAATAGTCTTACAGGGTTGGAACAACATGAAGGTGAGTAATTTCTGACAGAATTTTCATTTTGGGGTGAACTAAGGCTGGAGACACACGGGCTGCATGGCATGTACGTTTTTTATTTATTTTTTAATTTCGTTTCCAGGCAAACTAGAATTGGAAAAGATGTTTACATGTTATTTTGTACACAAATAGATATTAATAAATTACATTTTGATGGTTGAAAATCTAGGTTTTGACATAAATTCAGATATAAATAGAATTTAAAAATAAGTAATGATCAATTTTCAAATATTTCATTTGCACCTGTCAATACAGAACAAAATATTCTGTAGTCTATTTTGCTGTCAATACTGCTGACAGTGTTTATCTTTATCAGTAGGCTTTATATTTATGTTTAACATGAATATAGAGCTTCCACAATACGTCCTCCCTGTACGTCACCTAGCAGTATCAGTGCCGCGTCAGACACGTGTGCAAAGACACAGAAAACGCAACGCAGCTGCCATATAGCTGACACGCAACAGAAACGCCACGCTCATGCCACTCAGCCAGTTTGTCTGGGCCTAACCCTTTAACTCTGTTTGACGCACCCACCGCTAGCCTAGCTTAGCACAAAGACTGGAAGTAAATGGCTCCAGCTAGCATTACTGCTTACAATAAGTGACAAAATAACGCCAAGCACTGCTACTTGGGTGGAGTGATTAGCCCAAATAGCAGTGCTTCGCTTTCTGAGAATATAGTTCCCAGTATGTATACGGTTAAAATATGCCTGTGTCTCATATGACCTTGTTATTTGTACACACTGTGACTATACAAATCACAACATATATTATAAATAGAAAATGTTGGTGTTATTTTGTCACTTATTGGAAGAAGTATGCTAGATGGAGCCATATACTTGTGCTAAGCTAGGCTAGCGGTGGGTGCGTCAGTTAGAGTTACAGCACGCACAGAGAAAAGGTTATGTATGGACTGATCTAACTCTGGGGGATACGGTGAATGAGCTAAACTCCCAAAAAGTCGGCGTGTTCCTTTAACAAACTCTCTTGCTTGATTCATCACTTCTGTCACCAGAGGGAGTTGTAGAGCTTTCTGTCTCCTAGATATGAATCTCTAGTCTAGATGCCCTGACTTAAAGGAGCTAAACGCAAGTCTCTGAGTTTTTGCAGAACTACGCCCCCTCTGGCGACAAGCGAAACTGCAACCAGAGCTGTGCGCGTTCATGGAGGAACACACACACACACACATACGCACGTTTGCACGAGCTGTTCATAACTAAGGAGCATCAGCCGCACACTGTGCGGCACACATCTTTTGTTACAGTCATAATGAGGTAATACAGTAATAAATCTGCAAGTCATTTAAAATATATGAAAGGAAAGGCATTCGAGTAGGCTAAATTACACACTTATGTGTGTGAGAGGGGGAAACGGGGGTAGTAGAAAACTTCGGTTTTTGTTTCCATCTATCTCCCTGTGCTTACTGTATCCACTTATGATTGAATTATTATGGAAACACGTTCAGTTATCACTTTGTATAGGCTATGACTCGTTTGAGCCCTAGAGCCGACCGGAGATCTCTCCGTTTGTTGAAAGCTTCCCGATGTTGACTCTCGTCTTATTCCGACGCATGGCACTGGACAGACAGAAGTTTTATTTTCTGTCTCACGTGGAGTTTGCGTTGGGGTTTGTAATGAGCTACAAGCCGGTCTCTTTCCGCGCCATATACAGATTTAATAAAGTGCACGTCACCGAAAGCAACAGATATGAGCTGGATTTTATTAATCATCGGCTAATTTCAAAATCAGCAAAGACAGCAATAAGAGAGATCGGCAACAGGCCTGGTAAGATCATTTCATTTCTTTACTTTTAATGAAGATGGTAGTGTTAAGCGTCTGCGACTTACTTTCACTAATTCACTTTGATTTGCGATAGATTGCGGCGCTTGATGAAGGGGCTCAGCTCAGCTGCTCAGGTGATGCGCGTCGTCATATATGACTAAAATATCATGACATATAGCTTGGTTTCAACAACCAGATGCATTTACACTTGTCCAGTTTCGTCTGGAATACGGCACAGACCACGTCCTCAAGTGGTTTGAGCGATCGAATTCAAATCCGTCTCGAATGCGTTTCGGAGGGTATTTACACCCTGGTCTTTTCACGATCGAATAGCTATCCGATCACAGAAGACACATGAAGTGACCAGGTGTAGGCTAAACAGCCCATTTGAATCCATCGTTTACTTTTGTGGTAAGCTGACTAGAGTTGTGTCGCTCGAGTTGTCTTCTCTGATACGGAGAACGGCGGCGAATAGCTACACGAACCTGCCAGACATAGCCAGGCGAGCGTGAACGCGCATGACGTCACGCCCAGTCTCAGATTCGAGCCCGAATCCCTCTTATATATTTCACTGTACAGGGTTATAGAGGCGATCGCAGTGATCAAAGAAGGGCTCATTCAGCCCATCAGGCGATTGTTTAAGCATGTATGGGTTAGAAAACGGCTATTTTTAACATGAAAAGTTGCGCAATGCACCTTTAATGCAGTAATGACAGATTACAGCACACAAATAATCTATATATTCTATAATGCTCGCAGAGTTGCTTCAGTTATTAGGAGCAAATACAAGAGTTTTCTGAAAGGCATAATTTACATTAGACAACAACAGATCTTTATCTGCAACAGTTATCTTATCAATACAATGACTGAAACACTGTTTTGGACATGATAGGTATTTTGGCAAATTTTGTACACATTTTGTTGAATTTTTTGCTGAATATTGTGTTTTGTTTGTGAGCAGGAAACAGATTGAGGAGCTTCAGCAAGCCAAAATGCTAAGAGGAAATCTCAGCGCTGCAGAGCAGTTGAGTCTACTCAGCAGTCATGATGACTTGCAGCAGGCCCTGGAGGGAGCTTTCTTTGTCCAGGTATAGTTTTGGTAGATTTACTTTATTTTTTTAACCAAAAAATGACACGAGAAAACAGATAAATATCATAAAGCATTTGACGTGCTTTGCACTGTGACAAAACAATTAAATGTGGAATTATGGATTGGATCAACATAATGTGATAACATTCTTCTCTACACTTTTTTCATTTATCCATCTAATGTAATATTTAATGTGAATTAACCTTGGCTATAAACACCATGATACTGACATGGGATTGCTTCGAGAAGATAATCTACAGTACATTATCTGTTTCTGTTTCTGTC